TAATAAAACTACGGTACAAAGAGTGCAATAATAATAACACTTTATCCGTAAGAGCGACTTTCAGCAAGTGCAGTTACATCGTGGAAATAATTATATAGGGCGTTTATCGTCGGAATGTAATCAATATTGTATCATAAATGTAATATCAGTTTGCAAATTGGCGTTAAGTGCTAAAAAAAAATGCTCGATCAAGAAATCGAAGTATCAAAAAACTGAAAAATCTAAAATTTAAGTTCGAAAAATTGAAAAAAGTAATATCGAAGAATAGAAAACCAAGAAATCGAAAAATCTAAAGTTTTAAAAATTGAAAAATCAAAATATCGAAAAACTGAAGAAATAAAAAATTGAAAAACCAATGAAATCGAAACATTAAAAAATAGAAAAATTGTAAAATCGAAAAATCAAGGATTTCAAAACGAAAAAATAAAAAATTTGACAATTATCGGCCCAGTACTTTCGGAGATTATCTGTCTAATAAAAATCGGGATGGCAGAGGGATCGACAGACGGAAATGGGAGACCTATTTCTTCGTACTCTAGGGGTCATGAAACGTCGAAAAAACATGAAAATACGCTGGGGAATTGAAAATCCAAGTATAGTTCCAGTCTAAAACAACGTTTGGAAGGTTTCAATACCTCGTCTTACGACATTTATTAATAGCCCATTTCATTGTTAAATAATTCTAAATTTCTGTTTTCCGTTGGGGTTTTATGTCCTAGTGCTGTGCCGACTTTTATTTGAGCAGCGGTGCGCAAATTCAGGATTCTGTAATATTCGAATTTCTATTTTGTATGTCTATTAAAATTGAAATTAATCGAAATATCCGGCATTTTAATGCAGCGAATAAATGTTCCGAGTTTATAGAGTTTGGAAATATGCACAGCATTAGCGTGTAATTTCAAACAGGAATAATAATAACTGTCACCGTCCATAAAGCCCGGACACAACGTGTATGAAATTATTTCTAGATTCGAACGTGATATTTTCGGCCAAGTTTCCCGTACCCCACGACCCATTAGCCGGATTTATGCAGTTTTTCGCTTCCTGGGACTATATTAACTCCGTAATGTTAATGCGCTATTGTATTTCAGTCCCCGCCCCCGATGCCTTTAATAAAATATCAGCCATTTCCAGCTTCACACATTTGGGTAATGAACCTCTTTAATGTTTCGGTGCCATCTTTATTAATAGCATTCCTAATTAATAAACGGCTGCGAGTTGACATTTATGTTAGCGAAACGTTCTCTCCTAACATAAAAACGCTACTACGTGACGAGTTCCGATGAAAATTACAACATGGTTTATTGCTAACGAGCTCCGTCGAAGCCGTATTTATCGAGAGGGAGAGCATCCGAGGGTCAAAAAGTTCTTAATAGGTCTTTGTGCTGGAAGTTTCGATGCTGGTAGCTTGTGTACCAAGTTTTTTTGTCGGAGAAGTTATCGAGGGGAATTTGCATAATTAAAGCCTATGTCAAATGGCTTTCATTATGAGGAGTTTTTTTTCGTGTTTATGCGCAACTTTTTGTGCTTTTGAACTTCGGAAAAACAAGCTAAATATTTTCTTTTGTAGCGCAAAGAGAGCTAAACCTTAATATTAATTACGGACGATTCTTGATTAAAGTTGGCAGCTAGGGGTTGAAAGGAGCTGAAATAGAGTTTATTATTAAACTTTGAAAGTTCAAGCACGGAAAAGTATTTGTTTGGGAAAAAGCTTCAGAATTTTCCGCAACTTAACCCAATTATCAAACCACATTCAGCGCCAATCAATGAATGATAACATTTTTCCCCATTGCTTGCTCCACACCAGCATTGTGTACTCTCGATATCGACCATAGTAACGAACAATGTATTCTTTATCAGCATAGTAGCTCAACAGTCAACAATGACATTGACCTCACGAATAAACAACAACAAGGTTTATTATTGTTTTTATCAGAGCTCGCGGCGAGGTTTTGACGTACATTCATCCACTTTTTTCGACAAATAACGCAACGCCAAAATTAACATCCGAAAAGTGGTTTTCTTCGTCGAGTTCTTACATTTTACATTGTAGCATAAACAATTTATTGCACTCAATCGATATACGAAATGTGCAAAACCTTTTATCAGCATTGCAAAACGCGGGCAATATATTTTTACGATTGCAGTTCCTTTCCCACTGGACGAACCCTCGTTCGGGGTTTTATGACACCTGCATCGTTAATATTTTCCCTTATGTGGGCTTTAATAAAAGCGCGATATCACAGGAAGTGGGGTTTTGATGCGTCCTTACACTCATTAAAAATTGGTCAGAGTTGTTTCGACAAATCCCGTTCCTTTGAAAAATTATAAAAAAAAGAGTGCGTCGACCCAGGGACGCATGGTTGGAGTTTTAACTCTGTGTTGTCAATTTATATAAATTGAATAAGTATACGCGGCGAAGTCATTAATTTTCTCTTAACAAATAATAAAAACCAAAAATATGTTGCATTTGTATTTAATTTTTCAAAATTTTCGATTGTTCAATTTATCTCGATTTTTCGTCAAGACTTCGATTTTTCGATTTTTTTCTGGCTGTCTGGGGTGAAAATTCAACACGGATTCATACACCACAAGGGCAATTTCCTGACGCTTTCACTCAAAAAGTAGGTAATAAAAGGTGCCAAAATACGAATGGAAAACCTACTTTTTCATATATCAGAAATGATGAAACGCCTCGGAATAATGAAAAATTATCCACTCGTCAAACGAACCCTACCGCATGCTACAGGAAGTACAAATTGGCCTCTTTTAAAGACAGCAGAAAAAATTAAAACAAAACGAACTGGCGCTAATTAAAAAAAAGCTCCACACATAAATGCGTCAAGCCCCTGCCACCCTGCGCCCTTTTTCCTCCAATCCAGCCCTTTGCGGCATTCATTAACTCCCAAAACACTTGTAATTACATCCCATCTGTTGTCCCTCCTGCAAATGCACACACAACTTCCACATTCCTGCAACCCCGTTGTAGTCCTCGCCAATGGAATTCCTCCCCGATCCGATCCCCTCAATCCCAACCTCGGCTTATTTAATCTCCACTTGCAGCTGCACTTCGCGTACAAACGCCACCCCTAAAGATTCAATAACACCTTCGCCAACAGCCCGCTTTCAGTTTAATTTCCTGAAATGGACTCGTTTAATTACCGCACGTTGAGGGGATTTTGCGGCAGAACTTGGCGTTTGTTTAAATATTCAATATTTGCGACACTTATTTGAATATTATGCCGACGTTGCGGTAATGGGGCGTTTTTATGGCGGCTTTTCGTTTGTTATGGTTTTGCGGGCGTTTGGGTAGCGGAGCGTGGCGGCGGACACAGTTTGTGGTTAAAAGGTGTTAATTAGTTTGTAAATAATGGACTCGGGTATCAGGTTTAATTAGAATAACTGGATTTCATTAGGGACGTCTTTGTTGGAAATATTTATTTGTGTGGAAATAATTGAATTTGGGGCCGATTTGGAGAAATGCGCTAAAACTATGTCGTCAACATTCGGTTACGGGAGCTTTAATTGAATAAATCATGTTTGTTGCGTGCACGTGTAAACACGAGTGTAGCGTGTGGGTGGGAAGCCGGTGGTGGGCTTACATCGCCTGTCGGCAATTAAAATAGTCATTTCGAATTGTGAAAGCGTATTACCGGTTGAGGGTAATAATAATAACACATAAGGTCCGAGCACCTTTGCTATTAAACCTGTTGCTAGATCCTTCGCGAGCAACTTAATGACTCATAATCAGAATGGAGTGGTTCCGGGAGCCAATATATACCCACAACTATTCATAATTTTCGCAGTGATATTGCGTCGCTAACTCCAAAGTTTTGTTCTTATTTTTCTCACAATACTGACTAAACTCTTAATTTCTTAAATTATTTTTAAATTAAAATAAAAACCGAAATCCGAAACGTCGAAAAACACCAAAAATTAAAATATCGAACAATTGAAAAAGTCCCATAATTGAAATGTTGAAAAATTGAGAAATTGGGAACTCGAAAAAGCGAGAAATCTATAAACCAAGATGTTAACTTGTATCTTTCGTGAGAAAATACCAAGGCGCCATCCTGTATATCGAGTGAGTTTCGCCCGAAGTGACATTCCAATTTCCATCTAAATTATGTACCCAACATATCTATAATAACACGTCCTGACACGACGACAATTACGCTTACAGTTACCATAACCACAACCACCCCATCCCGCGCCCAATTACAACCCCTCCCGAACACCTAACTACCGCCTCGCAAGCCGTAAACATAAAAATTGAAGACGCGCCGCACACTTAGAAACAACCCGAATGCGATAAATCACCCCCTTATCATCCATCATCCTTCCAGCAGATAACGAAACCATACGTCGAACGCTTACGTAAAGCACAACGCGCCGAAATTGTGTCTCGAATAATGGTGGATGCGCCGGTTCCACAGCACCAAATTGTCTTGAATAATGCATTGAGCCGTCCTCCTAATTACCTCGTTTGCTGTTATTGCCCGAAGACGTCTCCAAATTGCCGTGAAATGCACCGCAAGAAGTGAAACGTTACAATATGAAAATATTTACAGCCCAGAGCGGCGGATTCAGGTCAAACGATCGGCTATTTGTCAAGGTTGAAGCGAGTTCCAGGGACGGATTTAAGTGGAGTCGTAAATAATTGGAGCGCTGGATGTGTTGTTTAGTGGAGCTCGAGGGCTAGAGAACAGCGGAGCTGTCAAATTATATTCTTCTATCGGCTGACGTCGCGTTTTATTTTGTCTAGCGAAGTTTCTGGTCACCGAATTGACTATGGATTATTATATATCGAATAAATGAAAAAAATGCTGGAAGCCCGAAAAGACGGCGGCGAGGACGCGGTTCTCCACCCCCTTTCCGCATGTCCAAGTCGCTCGATTCGATTAACTAGCAATCAATCAAAAGCTGTAACACTTGTACGAGTAATAATTCCGTCTAGTCAAACCGCATTAGTGCCGATATCTTATTTATGTAGGACTGACCTGTGACGGGAGCTTCTATATCTATCATCGTCTTTTCGGCGCGTAGGAGTTGTGCGCCTTCATTGATGATTCTGAGAGCTGCTGCTTCATCGATTCGGCCCTCCAATATAAAGTGCTGCTTTAACACGTCCGGCCGCGGTTTTGCCGTCCTCTGGTCGAACACTTCGGCCACTGTCAACTTATGACTCGGTGGAAAGGGTACAGCTGCAAAAGAAAAAAATTATCCATTGAGAAGCCACATAACTAATCGCGTTAAAAGCCGCTCTTGAGCAAGCAATTCAAATTAAAACTTGAACAAGAAGAAAACAAAAATAATTGGTCTAAAGAGTTTAGACAGTACTTCCCTCGCTGTCGGAAACTTGACGACTGCATGCCTATTGTGTTTTTTTTCTCATTACATTTTTGTAGTGGGAATTTAAAAAAAAATGCGATGACGTCATCAACATTTTTGCAAGGACACGTATATCAGTTGGGATAGATGTAGTGTAATACTAAGAATAAAATTATTATATTTTCAAATTTTCGGGAAAATGAATTGGGTCGTTTTGAATATTGATTTGTAATAATCAATAAAATAACGAAACAATTTACTCACGTATACGTATCAGAGGCAACTGAAAATCGTGTATGTATAAACATTCTTAATTTAAGATGACAGGCGTAACAGCATACGTGAGAGTCAAACAGAGAAACTGTAAACAAAACGACCATCGGTTTTATTGCTTCGACTTCCGCTTATTATATAAAATATTGGGTTTTATTTTAATTCTTGACGGTGAAATTCACAATTGGTTGATTATAAACATGTCTATTTCACATTCGCGGAACCAAGTGAACGCATAAAACAAATGCAGGTCTGTAATGTTAAAGTCGATGTAAATAAGCGTACTACCCTTATGTTTCAACCGAGTTTTTCCTTTAACAAATTTTGTGTCTACCAAATTGGGTTGGTTGGGGTGTAATACTAATAATAAGTGTTGCCTTTAATTTAATCAATAAAATAAATTGACTTCATTAATTTTTTTGAACCACCTCTTAAGAAAATCTAAAAAATATGAATGGAATGATAAATCACAAGTACAAACTCATCATATTTTTTGCATTTTAGATAGGATTTATTCAGCAAAATTTAAGGGTGACGTCATCAATTTTTTTAGGAGGGATGAACAAATACATTTTGAACAAAAGTTTACCATGCTTATAATAACTTTAAAATATACCCAAGATTTCAAAGCATTCGGTTTTGTAATTCCTGATTAAATCGATAAAATAAATTCACGCCTTCATTAATTTTTTTGAGTCACCCTGCATATGCAAATCCAAAAATATGAATGGAATGATAAATCACAAGTACAGACTCATCATATTTTGTACATTTTAGATACGATTTATTCGGCAAACTTTTGAGCTGACGTCATCAGTTTTTTGTAGAAGATAACCAAATATATTTTGACTAAAAATTTATTATGCTCTTTATAACCTTAAAACATCTGCAAGATTTCAAAGCATTCGGTTTTGTAGTTCCTGATTAAATCAATAAAATAAACTTACGCATTCATTAATTTTTTTGAGTCACCCTGTATATGCAAATCGAAAAAATTTGAATGGAATGATAAATCACAAGAAGAGACTCACCATATTTTGTTCATTTTAGATAGGATTTATTCAGCAAAATTTTGTGGTGACGTCATCAATTTTTTAGGGGGGACGACCAAATACGTTTTGATAAAAAATTTACCATGTTTATGATAATTTTAAAATATCTTCAAGATTTCGAAGCAATCGGTTTTGTAGTTCCTGAGTAAATCAGTAAAATAAATTTACGCTTTCATTTATTTTCTTGAATCACCCTGTATATGCAAATCCAAAAAATATGAATGGAGTGATAGATCACAAGTACAGACTGATCATATTTTGTACATTTTAGATATGATTTATTCGGCAAATTTTCGAGCTGACGTCATCAAGTTTTTGGAGGGGATAAGCAAATATATTTTGACTAAACATTTATTATGCTCTTTATAACCTTAAAACATCTGCAAGATGTCAGAGCATTCCGTTTTGTAGTTCCTGATTAAATCAATAAAATATATTTACGCATTCATTAATTTTTTTGAGTCACTCTGTATATGCAAATCCAAAAAATATGAATGGAGTGATAAATGACAAGTACAGGCTCATCATATTTTGTACATTTTAGATATGATTTATTCGGCAAACTTTCGAGCTGACGTCATCAAGTTTTTGGAGGGGATAAGCAAATATATTTTGACTAAACATTTATTATGCTCTTTATGACCTTAAAACATCTGCAAGATTTCAGAGCATTCGGTTTTGTAGTTCCTGATTAAATCAATAAAATATATTCACGCATTCATTAATTTTTTTGAGTCACCCTGTATATGCAAATCCAAAAAATATGAATGGAGTGATAGATCACAAGTACAGACTCATCATATTTTGTACATTTTAGATATGATTTATTCCACAAACTTTTGAGCTGACGTCATCAAGTTTTTGGAGGGGATAAGCAAATATTTTTTGACTAAAGATTTATGATGCTCTTTATAGCCTTAAAACATCTGCAACATTTCAAAGCATTCTGGTTAGCAGATTAAAAATTAAATTTCAAAATGTTGTTTTATAATTTTGATTTTTTTTCCAAAAATCTGGACGTTTCGGGTGAAAAGTCGATTCAGAGTTGTAAACTACATGTGTAGGACTATGTTATTTTATACAATTGAAAACCCATTTACTATGTACAATTTTGAAGTGATGTCATCGCATTAGTGGTGGGGATGATTAGACAAATTTTGGTTAGCGTTTTACCATCTACATGATATTCTTAATATCGGTCGAGTACTTTCGGAGATTATCTGTCTAATAAAAATCCGGGGGCAGACGGACAGACGGACGGACAGACGGACAGACAGACGGAAATGGGAGACCTATTTCTTCGTCTTCTAGGGGTCATGAAAGATCGAGAAAACGTAAAAGTAGAGAGTCGGCCGACGGACTCGATTACAATACTTCCTTTGCTTACACTCGGGAAGTAAAAATTGTCGACAGAACTTCCCTCGTGAAAACTCAAGACGGATTCATACACCACAAATACAGGAGCATCTTATTTTGTAAAATTAAAAAAAAAAAATATTTGACTCGATTTCTATTAATAACCAGGTCGGTAATTGCAGTTACCTACACACTTTGTATTTAAAATTATTATTATTATTATTATTATTATTATTATTGAGAGAAAGCTTGCGACAAGGTTCGACGAGCAATAACTTCGTTGATGGGCGGCGAGACGACACAGCTTGCAATTTATTGCTAATTAATCTGTAATTGGCAAGTTGAGCTCTAAAGTTCGATAGACTGGGAAGTCGGGAAGTTCGTTGGGGAAAACAGAAGCTTCTAACTCGCGCACTAAAAATAGTTGCGAAGAACTATCCCCCTGATTGTTATTATTAGCATATTCTCCAACTTCATCCAATGAAAAATAACCCGCGATAGAAAAATTCTTTGAATAATTCCCGAGTGACCTTACAAAGGTTGAACAAAAAAATTAAAAGGAGGTTCTAATCGCGTGATTTCTGGCTATAATCTGCAGGAGCCCAGATTATAAATCTTCTGTAAAATAATCCAAACAATCTTATACACAAAGTTTAATAAGGACGGCACGATCTGAAACCTCTCTCTCTCTAGAAATCCTCACGACTCGGGTTTAATAAGGATGAAATGTCTAAAATATCATGTGCCGTGAAATAAACCTTCCAGCTATGTAGGTACACGTCATATACACCCCGCGAAAACCTGCACAGCTAAATTAAATACCCCACGAACTCCGACCTTTCAAATCGTGATGAAAAATTCAATTTTTACCTTTGACTCAAAACAAAATCTTGTTCGGGAAGGTGTTTTAACCACAAAACAAACCAGCGAAAATCCCCGAAGAGCGAAATATTTGCACGGTGCCGGGGTAGTGTGTGAGGTCACAATTAATTCAGTTAGGTGGCCATATTGCGAAAAGCTTTCATACAAAAATGAAATTAATTAATAGCGAATGATGAAATTAAAACTGCTTCCGACTTTGTTCGAATTGCCATAAAACAATTTTGAAAAATTACATTCAACACAGAAAAATATCTGTCACATAGAATTAATTTAAATTGTACGTAAGCTTCCCAATTAGAGTTAATTCAATTTAACGCCAAAAAACCCATTCCCAATTAGAATAATAGCAGCAAGTAGGTGCATAATGTCACGTTAATCACATCATAAGCCCCGTCCTTTTATGACCTGTTAATTATGATTTAATGCTTCCGGTTTTCCACGCGATAAGTAACTAATTTATCACGCCATTAAACATATCAACAATGATAAGAATAACAATTATAAGTGTGTGCAATTTCTCTTCCTAGATTTCTACTCGAGCAGCACTCGAATTAATATTTTCTAATAAACGCACACAATAAGCTTTAAAAAATTGCACTACCGTGTGAACAATAGGTCGTACAACGGTTTCAATGGTCAAAATAAATCGCCTTAATAAAACGTCGAAAACAAATACTTCTCGTTGAAAACCCCTTGGTTATCGTCATAATTTCTTTCTCTTCGTTCGCAATCCACCGAACGCAAAATCACAGCCTTATCTCTCCCATCCCTCCCCATGCCATGATATTTTGCCGTTAAACATAAAGCCACCCATAAAAGAACATGTCATCATCGTGATTCGTATGCAAATTCGCGTTTTCTTGATAGGATCACTTTATGTATTAATTCGACAGTCCCTCGAAGGAAATAAGTCAATTTCACGGAGCTTTCCCTAGTCAAGGGCAGAATCCGGAAAAACGCCGCCTCGTATCCCGAAAACTCACTCCGGGGAGCAACCTGGACTTTCCTTTCGCGTGCATTTCGTCCCGATTTTCCTCAGACCTACTTTTAACTTTCTTGACGAAAAAAGCGTTTCTGCGTTCCTTAGAAATGGGCGTTTTATGGATGCTGGTAATGTGTGTGTCGAAAACTTCGCGATTTATGTGACATTGCAAAAACTGATAACTTTAATCGTAAGTTGACTAGCACATAACCGTTACAAGAAGCACTAACTAGTTTTCGGTCAGTGATCGTCCGATAAAACGTAACCGCAGCCGTAATTCTGCAACGTGCCGGTTAATCTCGCCGTTATAGATCTTTATAGATCTCTA